GCCGTAAACTGCAGCCATAGAACATGACTGCAGCTATAGAACATGGCTGCTGTCGTATGCCGTAAACTGCAGCTATAGAACATGGCTGCAGCTATAGAACATGGCTGCAGCTATAGAACATGGCTGCTGTCGTATGCCGTAAACTGCAGCTATAGAACATGACTGCAGCTATAGAACATGACTGCTGTCGTATGCTGTAATGTTCGAGATATCCTGACCATGATTGGGCTGTCAGCTTGGGTTAATTGAGACGGCGGCCATGTTGGGGTCTGTTCGCCCGCGTGGCATGCCGTCCAATGATTGGTCAGCCCGAGTGTCAAGATTTGTTTACACTTGCTAGCAACACACGATCGATTGTCGTGACAATCTTTTAATTAACCAACTCAACAAAGTTGGCAGACGCAAAAATAAAAATCGTTTTGTTTTTCGTAAAAAGTAATTGTATTTAATTATTATTTTAATTAGAGTTGCATTAAGTTTAGGTATAACGGGCAGCGTTGAGAGTGTAACGAATTAGTAAATTAAAAATGGATTAAAAATCATGTCTTTATCCCGAGTTGCCATCCCCCGTAGTGTTATATAAGAATATTCGAGAAAGTTTAGGGGGGAATCACACTCGGTTTATTTAATTACTTCAATTAAAAAAAAATAGAATAGAATATCGTAGAAAAAAGAATTGCGCACCAAGTGAACGCCAAACAATATGTGTATAATATTGCGGAATATTATTAGTATTTAATAAATTCACATGCGATTTTTGAGAAATCGGAAATAGCGTAAATTACTAGATTCTACTGCTGGTTAAAGGAAATTACTCAAAATTTTAAAGAAAGCAGAGGGTTAGATCTTTTACTTACATGTGAAATTTCATTTTTCTATCTGAAACAGTACTCAAGTTATGGGCTTCTGAAAATTTGAAAGTAGAATAAGTTCCACTTCCGGTTACCCGAAATCGCAGAAAAGTTGATACAGAACTACAAATTTGATATAATACTTATATATGAAATTTCATCAACCTAGCTGTAACGGTACTCAAGTTATCGTGTTCACAGACACACATACATATACACACAGAGATACGGACAAATTTGCAAAACTATGTTTTTCCGACACAGGGAGGGTAAAACGTCGAAATATGTAAAAGTCTCGATTTTTTTCTTACTTTCTCGTATACGAAGTAAAGAGGGAGTATTGTAATCGTGCAAATATACATATATTGTTTGGCGTTCACTTGGTGCGCAATTCTTTTTTTTCTACGAGATTCTATTCTATTTTTTAAAAGTTTAAGTAATTTAAAAATGGATTAAAAATCATTTCTATATCCCGAGTTGCCATCCCCCGTTGTTTTATATAAGAATATTCGAGAAAGTTTAGGGGAGATCACTCGCGGTTTTTTTTTTTTTTTTGCTGGGTTACAATACTTCCTCTATACTTCGTATACGAGAAAGTAAAAAGTTAACATTGGCTAAGAACGGTTACGACTGCTAGCTCTGAAAGTAAAAAGTTAACATTAGCTAAGAATGGTTACGACTGCTAGCTCTAAAATCTCGAGTTCCGATCAAGTCTGTAGGACGTCCATGAGTCCACACAGCTTTAATCGGTACCTGGCTCACGTTAGGGAAATTAGACGGCTAGGGATAGTGCTACCCATTTTGTCTATCTGTATATTCCGGTCATCTATATGGATGAACTCTACTATATCTGCCCAATGTGTATCGGGCACGAACGAGAAAAGATAATAATGATGATGAGGAGAAAGAATGAAAAATGAACATTGCAGAACCACGAGAGCGACGTCATGTAAAATTTTATGAGGTCAGTGATCGACCGTTAGTTGATTGATCAACCGTTAGGTCAGTAATCGACCGTTAAGGTATCGGGGGGGGGGGGGGGGGGGGGGGGGGTAACGGTCCAATTAAATCTCACCCGGTGAGAAACGGTCGAGAGCCATCGACCGACGGTTATTGAAATCCGACCTGATAACTAAGGACAGGAACTAACGATGACTGACAGCATGCATAGGATCCAGGGAAGTCATAACGTTGGTGTCGTAATATGTAGGGGGGGGGGGGCTGGATATGACGGATACGAAGGCTAGTTGGTCTGTGTGTGTGTGCATGTGTGTGTGTGTGTGTGTGTGCATGAGAATTGTATGTTCGTGTGAGTAGTTTGTGTGTGTAGATGCATGTTTCTGAACTGCCTGGATGTAGATGTGTGTTTATGTACCTGTGTGTGTGTGTGGTGTGTGTGTGCATGTAAATTACCTGTGTGTGTTTGTGTGAGTAGGTATGTGTGTTTCTGAACTGCCTGGGTGTAGATGTGTTTCTATGTATATGGTGTGTGTGTGTGTATGTATGTGTGTGTGTGGTGTGTGTGTGTGTGTGGTGTATGTGTGTGTGGTGTGTGTGTGTGGTGTGTGTGTGAGTCACAAAACCAGCCACCCAGCAGTCTGTTGTTGTAAGTCCGGCAGTGAGCTGCTCTGTTTTACACCAACGGTCACTCGAAGTTTCCCGAACAACCGGACGGCTCGGGCGTGCAACTAATCGAACACTGAAATCACTTGGTCGTGGGAGGGGGTGTGGGGGAGGGGGTAAAGAAATGTTGAAATTGGCTGTTGAAAAATTCCTCAAGACGCTAATCCTCTTCAAGTTTTTTCATCTAACTTTAAAAAAAAATCTGATTGGGTGATTGATCGAGAGTATTAAAAAAATAATTCTTTATCAAACAGTTTGTGTAAACTACTAAATAATTGATTGCGTTGATCTGAGGTTTCGAGTTGATACCCAGGGGTAAAGCTTTATATAATTAATCGTTAATTAGCCGAGAAACGTATTAATTGTGTAGACGCCACATTCTTATTACCAGAGTTTCGATTTAAAAGAATTGTGTTGAGTTTAAAGCAAGGATAGAACAGAAGACACGAACTAAATTTTGGCCGAGCGGCGGTCAGAACAGACACAACTTATGTAAGTCGATAGTTAGTCAGAGTTTCTTCCAGGCATCTCTTCGGGGGGGGGGGGGGGGAGGGAAAGTCTACCCCCCACCCCCCCGAACGAGATGGATTTTATATAGTAAACATACACTTTTACTAGTGTCCACCCCCCCCCATCCCCGAAAAATGTTGACCGCCCCCCCCCCTCCGAAAATTTCAATTGCCCCCCCCCCCCCCCCGGAGAAAAAAGTCTGGAAGAAACACTGCAGTTAGTGCAGCCGCCTTTTAACCCTTTTAGTGCATGTTTATATGCGTTTATATTCCTTCATACAAACATAATAAACATAACTTAAACCCTTTTAGTGCATGTTTATATGCGTTTATATTCCTTCATACAAACATAATAAACATAACTTAAACCCTTTTAGTGCATGTTTATATGCGTTTATATTCCTTCATACAAACATAATAAACATAACTTAAACCCTTTTAGTGCATGTTTATATGCGTTTATATTCCTTCATACAAACATAATAAACATAACTTAAACCCTTTTAGTGCATGTTTATATGCGTTTATATTCCTTCATACAAACATAATAAACATAACTTAAACCCTTTTAGTGCATGTTTATATGCGTTTATATTCCTTCATACAAACATAATAAACATAACTTAAACCCTTTTAGTGCATGTTTATATGCGTTTATATTCCTTCATACAAACATAATAAACATAACTTAAACCCTTTTAGTGCATGTTTATATGCGTTTATATTCCTTCATACAAACATAATAAACATTTTACTTATTCAATTTATCTGATCTAGACATTAAGTGATTCGTCTAGACTCTAGACATTCACTGACCCGTCTAGACAGTGACTGACCCGTCTAGACAGTCACTGACCCGTCTAGACATTCACAGATACGTCTAGACAGTGACTGACCCGTCTAGACAGTCACTGACCCGTCTAGACATTCACAGATACGTCTAGACACTCTATGATCCGTCTAGACATTCTCTGATCCGTCTAGACATTCGCAGATCCGTCTAGACAGTCAATGACCTGTCTAGACATTTAGTGATACGTCTAGACATTCACTTATCTGTCTAGACATGCATATGACTCTATACTAAACAATTAGAAACCATTTTACTGAACTTGTACACTGATATGGTCGACGACGATAATCTTTTGACCAAGTTTCTGATAAAAATAACAAACTTCATTACAGGCCAGAAACCTTGTCCAACACCTCATGGTCAACATAGTTCCAGACAAATGACGGACAAAAATGCTTTTATCAGTCGTCAACAGCTGTTGTTAGGGGGTGAATGTATCGAAGGTCGTAGACCCTGTTTGTTTGAAGTCACGCCCCCCCCCCCTGAAATGAGAGTAGTAAAAAAAAATTAATAGAAAATGGAAGGGGGTTGTTGACATAGGAACCAGACGCCCAACCCACTTCTACTATTGCGGTCATTAAAAAAAAAAGATGAAACTAAAAACGAACCTTGAGACCGCCTCACCCACAATACCCCCCTCCCTTCCCTTTTCAAATCTTACACCAGCATATGATGACGTCATAACGCGGGTATATTTACACGGCTGGGCCGAGCTAATAATAAAATAAATGTCCACTTCCTCAGACACACCCCCCTGATGTCACCCGATTCACTCAAGTGTCTCGTCCACTCTCAAGCCGTCTGCACGAAAGAGAGGCTCATATAGGCAGACGGCAAGCTCAAATAGGCAGACGGCAAGCTCGTATAAGCAGACGACAGGTCATATAGGCAGACGGCAAGCTCGTATAGGCAGACGGCAAGTTCATATAGGCAGACGGCAAGTTCATATAAGCAGACGGCAAGCTCGTATAGGCAGACGGCAAGTTCATATAGGCAGACGGCAAGTTCATATAGGCAGACGGCAAGCTCGTATAGGCAGACGACAGGTCGTATAGGCAGACGGCAGGCTCAAATAGGCAGAAAGCATGTCATATAGGCAGAAGGCAGGTTAACTAGGCAGACGGCAGGTCATACAGCAGACGGCAGGTCATACAGCAGACGGCAGGTCATAGAGCAGACGGCAGGTCATAGAGCAGACGGCAGGTCATAGAGCAGACGGCAGGTCATAGAGCAGACGGCAGGTCATAGAGCAGACGGCAGGTCATACAGCAGACGGCAGGTCATACAGCAGACGGCAGGTCATAGAGCAGACGGCAGGTCATAGAGCAGACGGCAGGTCATAGAGCAGACGGCAGGTCATAGAGCAGACGGCAGGATTAGGGAGGACTATGGGGAGCTCAAAGGACGGACAAGCTGAGACCAGCTCCACCAATGAACGCATGTGTCTAAGGCCAGACAAGAAGAGGTCACGTGTTTACCTTATAAGGAGCAAGATGGCGCTCACATTACTGACTCGAGTGGTAAGTAGATGTGGTAGGGGTGGGGATGGTGGGGATGGTGGATGGGGTAATGTGGTGGGGATGGTGGGGATGGTGGATGTGGTAATGTGGTGGGGATGGTACAGCGGTGGATGGGGTAGTGTGGTGGGGATGGTAGAGTGGTGGATGTGGTAATGTGGTAATGTGATGGGGATGGTGGATGTGGTAATATGGTGGGGATGGTAGTGGGGATAGTAAATGTGTTGGGATTATGTGATAGAAAAGTGTAGTGGGTGGTAAAGTCATCTGTATGTATGTATTATACATATAGATTCCTGTAAAATATGGCGCTTTGCTTATGATTGTATTCAATTTAGTCATTCAATTTATTCAATAACGGTAACAACAGTAAGGCGAGGCCTTTTTCACATTGGCCGTTTATAAAAATTTAAAAAATCACAAAAAACAACAACATAATAACAGCATTAAAAAAAAAAAAGAATTGAGTAGTAAAGACATAGCAGTAACATAGCGTCCAAAAATATGGAATAAAGAAATAATATAACAGTTATAATACAAAATGATATAGAATCTGTAATACAAGACTGGTGGTAGTGTGTCAGTCCATCATCGCTCGCTTTTGATTTTGGAAGCATAAAAGTAAACATCACACTATGCATTGCTTTTAAATAGAATCGCATTGTCTTAATATAAGTATTAGAGTAGGGTTTTTTTATGTAACGACTTAAATTTTTTGTATAGTTGCCACTGCTTTTACTGTTTCGCATAACGTAAAGAAAATAGTAAATACACACACATTACTTTCATATATTAAACATATCAATGTCAAATAATATTATTACTCGGATTACTATAAAAATTGGATACATTTAAATAACAGTAGGGTTATAAAAAAGAAATTACCAATAATGTATAATAATTATGCCAGGGGAAGTAATTTAAAAAAAAATGAAATCACGCTAATTAAAAAAAAGTGTGAATGCCATTCCGCAGACATACACGAGGGCATTATTGTTGGAATAATATAATTGGCATGGATTGAGAAAGTGCAATATAGTAGGTAAAACGCGGATATTTGAAATACTGCATTTTGTATATTTTATGGATAAGTTGAGGTATTATAGTCGTTTACTAAGTTGAATGAGGCGGTTCCGCCTGCCTCCCGACAGGGTGCTATGAGGTGCACCGGGCTAGACTGTGAGCACTATGTCTTTACGATTGCATTTCAGTTGTGTTTATGTTATGCGTTTGCCTTTTCGTTTTTTTTTTTTGCGTTTGCATTGTGTTTGTCTTTTTTTTCTTTTGTGTTTGCGTGTTGCGTATGTTTTCGTTTGTGTTTTTTGCGTTTATGTTTGCATTGTGTTTGTATTATTTTTTGTTTGCGTTTTTTTGTGTCGTATTTGTGGTTTCTTTTGTGTTTGTGTTGTGTTTGTGTTTTGCTTTGTTCTGTTCTGTTCCCAAGTTCATACATTTAAAAAAGATTCACCGTAGCGGAGCACGGGTATGCTAGTGAGAATATAAGAGATAAATGTAGCCTCGAATCTCTAATGCAAAAAGTGTGAAATTATTCAGAGTGACATCCCCTGCTTTGCGTATATCAAAGTTAAGCCATGTAGAATTACTTCCCTTGCATATAAGACACCGCTATAAGAACTAGAACCGTCTGGAGTTCAGTTAGGGATGTTTATTTCCGACGTGAAGATACTTCTAAATACAACAGTGTAAATATATTGTAAACAGGCTACAGAAGTATCGCCACCTGTTAGATAGTAAACTCCTAAAGACATCATGTAGGACTGGAATCGTAAACTGGACTGTTGGTGTTAAACGGCCGTGGTCCCTGTCTCATTACGTTCTGTTGTTCACTCAGGTTTAAAGTTAATTAATTTTCTTCTTGATCACCTGAAAACTCCCTAGTTCTATATTCTGTAAACAAAGTGTAGTCGTTAGTGTTGAATCTTTGTCGGCTGTCATTTGAAATGTGATCACCATTGTTTGTGTATTGTTACACACGACTCCATAACGTCTGAGTTTTACCACACAGCCAGAAGTGCTGGAGTTAGGTCGTGATAATATTGGCGTGTGGCGATATTCAGTTCGTGGTCTCTGCTTGGTTAACATTCATTTTTAATCCAGTCAAGCTTGTGTCACCATCTCAAGTCAAGTCTATCTCGTATCAACACTTTCAGTCAAAACTATTTGGTGTCACTACTTTCAGTCAAGTCTATGTCATGTTACCACTTTCAGTCAAGTCAATAATGTGTCAAAACATTCACTCAAGTCTGTCTAGTGTCACCACTTTCAGTCAAGTCTACCTTGTCTCACCACTTTCAGCTAACTCTATCATGTGTCACCACTTTCAGCAAAGTCTATCTTGTCTCACCCCTTACAGTCAAGTTTATGCAGTCTCACCACTTTCAGTCAAGTCTATCATGTGTCACCACTTTCAGCAAAGTCTATCTTGTCTCACCCCTTACAGTCAAGTTTATGCAGTCTCACCACTTTCAGCCAAATCTATCTTGTCTCACCACTTTCAGTCAAGTCTATCTTGTCTCACCACTTTCAGTCAAGTCTATCTTGTCTCACCACTTTCAGCCAAGTCTATCTTGTCTCACCACTTTCAGCCAAGTCTATCTTGTCTCACCACTTTCAGCCAAGTCTATCTTGTCTCACCACTTTCAGCCAGGTCTATCTTGTCTCACCACTTTCAGCTCCATCTAACAAGCTCAATCATCTATTCAAGTCACTGGTAACACAACCCACCAGGGGTCGCTACTCTCATAATTTGTTTCCTCCCGCCCAGCCCCCCCCCCCCCCGTGGGGACACCCCAGCGTCTAGCAAACGACTGACCACAATTCCCCACACGTACCGCCGGCTCGGCGCTGACCTACCGGAAGTGATCAGGCTGATCGAACAACAAATCAATCAGACAATTAAAACCTTCCGCGGTTCGAGTACCTTCAGATTGCTCGCAACAAACATAAAAAAATTGGACCAGCAGACACGACCACCCACTCCCCCCCCCCCCCCACCCCATCATCCCCCGTCATCTAACTCGAACAAAAACAGTGAAATCGGAAATTCCCAATCGACAAACACGCAATGAAACGCGAGACTTTCCCTCCCAGTTCAAATATTCCAGTACACAAGCGATCGAGTCACCCAAGTTAAATGTCGTCACCGTGATGTGATTGGTCCAAGTCTAAACATGACGTCGTTAGCTAACCTAATTGAAAATACTTCAGTTTAAATTACCTATACCAACACATCTCGATTTTAAGTGTTATACTTGTACTAGTCGACAATGCAGACATAGTTAAATAGTATAACCGCTAAGCAAAACTAGTCACACTGGCTAAAGTATTGTAATCTGCGACATCAACTATACGTATAGGAGCGGCGTGGTCGGGTAGGTAAAGCTCATGACCGCTAAACCGAAACGTCCCGGCAGATGTGCCTCGATAGCTGGGGCTAGCGATTCATCTAGGAGAGAAAACGTCAAAATCAAGAGGGTTCAGTAAGGAAAGCAGGCTGAAATCGGAGTCAGCAGCCAATAAGACGCATAACAAATTGACACGTAATACTTAATTGTGTTGAGAGGAATAGGGCTTGTAAGTAGGTCAAGAACTTTTCGCAATTGCCAGCTAGTATTTTTCAAACCAAATGAAAATCTTTTTATTAAATCGGTAAAAATAATAATAATAGAAAAGTTACTTTCGATATTGTTTATTTGTTTTTAAAATAGTAAACAATGATAATGCTAGATTACAAGATGTAGACTAGCTTAAAGCAAAATATAGCCTACGTTAAACTGACACTTTTTAAAAAAGAAGCGAACAGTTGGTCAAAATGTATTCGAATTCGAATCAAGTCCGAAAAGTAGTTACAATATTAATATAATATTAACAGACTAGATCAACCAGGACTTGATATAATTCTATTATTAGTTTAAAAAAATATAATTGTTGCATTTCGGGTACTCTTGGTATTTTAAAATCTTGAAGCGAGGCTTAAAATCAATTAGCTGCCATGTTTTTTTTTATAATCAATAGAAATACTGTTCACAAAAATTAATTAAGTCCGACAATTTAAATCTCTCCATGGCTAACGAGATTTCGAATTTTAAGCGAGAGAGAAGGAGACTTTCAAGCCCTATTCCTTCTAACATTACAACAAAGAACGTTGGGGAAGAGAGTATCTATACAAGTCATTGCACGGCTAATACTTGGGACAGAAGTTTATGCTGCAGCGATCTCTAATGTTCACTCGAGTGAAGGGGGTTCCTAATGTTCACTCGAGTGAAGGGGGTTCCTAATGTTCACTCGAGTGAAGGGGGATCCTAATGTTCACTCGAGTGAAGGGGGATCCTAATGTTCACTCGAGTGAAGGGGGTTCCTAATGTTCACTCGAGTGAAGGGGGATCCTAATGTTCACTCGAGTGAAGGGGGATCCTAATGTTCACTCGAGTGAAGGGGGATCCTAATGTTCACTCGAGTGAAGGGGGTTCCTAATGTTCACTCGAGTAAAGGGGGATCCTAATGTTCACTCGAGTGAAGGGGGATCCTAATGTTCACTCGAGTGAAGGGGGTTCCTAATGTTCACTCGAGTGAAGGGGGTTCCTAATGTTCACTCGAGTGAAGGGGGTTCCTAATGTTCACTCGAGTGAAGGGGGTTTCTAATGTTCACTCGAGTGAAGGGGGTTCCTAATGTTCACTCGAGTGAAGTGGGTTCCTAATGTTAACTCGAGTGAAGGGGGTTCCTAATGTTCACTCGAGTGAAGGGGGTTCCTAATGTTCACTCGAGTGAAGGGGGTTCCTAATGTTCACTCGAGTGAAGGGGGTTCCTAATGTTCAAGTGAAGGGGGTTCCTAATGTTCACTCGAGTGAAGGGGGTTCCTAATGTTTACTCGAGTAAAGGGTGTTCCTAATGGTTACTCGAGTGAAGGGGGTTCCTAATGTTCACTCGAGTGAAGGGGGTTCCTAATGTTTACTCGAGTAAAGGGTGTTCCTAATGGTTACTCGAGTGAAGGGGGTTCCTAATGTTCACTCGAGTGAAGGGGGATCCTAATGTTCACTCGAGTGAAGGGGGATCCTAATGTTCACTCGAGTGAAGGGGGTTCCTAATGTTCACTCGAGTGAAGGGGGTTCCTAATGTTCACTCGAGTGAAGGGGGTTCCTAATGTTCACTCGAGTGAAGGGGGTTTCTAATGTTCACTCGAGTGAAGGGGGTTCCTAATGTTCACTCGAGTGAAGTGGGTTCCTAATGTTAACTCGAGTGAAGGGGGTTCCTAATGTTCACTCGAGTGAAGGGGGTTCCTAATGTTCACTCGAGTGAAGGGGGTTCCTAATGTTCACTCGAGTGAAGGGGGTTCCTAATGTTCAAGTGAAGGGGGTTCCTAATGTTCACTCGAGTGAAGGGGGTTCCTAATGTTTACTCGAGTAAAGGGTGTTCCTAATGGTTACTCGAGTGAAGGGGGTTCCTAATGTTCACTCGAGTGAAGGGGGTTCCTAATGTTCACTCGAGTGAAGGGGGTTCCTAATGTTCACTCGAGTGAAGGGGGTTCCTAATGGATGTTGAACACAATAACATTGGAGAAACAAACCATCTTGGTGACATTTTAATTTCATGATGGTTGTCGTGTATCACCGGCCACTCATTTCAATTATCATTCTGTTCTCTCAACTGGTGCCATTTTTGTCTAATGGATAGTTATCTTCTTAATGTCAAGTGTCATTTGGCTCATGAGATCTGTCATCGTACGCGTGTCATGTGCTACGGTGGCCAGAAAACTGCGCACACGATATGTGCACGGAAATTTATTTAATATAAACCGATTAATTATAGACGTGAGCAAAAAATGACTACCTGTACATTGTAGCATAATAGAACATTATCCACAAAATAAGATAATATTAAAGTATATTAGAGTTTGTATTAGTGCATTTTTTTGTGTTTGTGCAGTTTTGCGCTGCGCATTCTTCTGTTTGCGCAGTTTTTTTGTTTTTGTTTTTTTTTTTTTGTTTTTTTTTTTTAGGAACTGTGTGCTATATTGTCTTACCGCGTCTTAATCAAGATAATTATAAAATCCTGGTATAGATTTAATTTATGATACAATTATATACTGAAATTAACCCTCCCTCCCACCCCCCCACCCCCATTCCAGGTGTTCATCCTCCTGACCTTGACGTGTGCCGGGGTGATCACCACGTCCATCTGGCTGATGTTGAACTGCCGGCAGAGCTTCACCACCGTCCGCCCCATGATGCCCGACCACGCCCTCTTCTGCACCAACATGGGCATGCCCGCACTCTTCGCCTGCTGCACCCTCCTCTTCACGGTCTTCGGGCTGGGCTGCACGGGGCGCCGCCTGACGGGGTACGCCCTGATCATCATCAGCTCCGTGGAGATTCTCCAGAGCATCACGACCTTGGCCTTCTACAAGTGCAACACCGTCGCCCACCACGACATCATCGAGGCCGTCAACTCCAGCCTCGTCTCCTGCCACAAGCCCATAGGCTTCAGCACGCCCTTGTTTGTCACCACCAACACAACCAACGCCCTCCTCAACCCCCGGATAAATTACAGCAAACGATTTCAACTATTTACCGAAATGAACTCCTCACAATTAAATTTCCACGACCTTCCATATTCTACTTCTCAACACAAGATAATCCTCCCGACATTGAAGCGTTCAACCAAAGACACCCTCAGCTATTTTAACAACAAAGCCCCTTCCGGGACGAGAACAAAGCCCTCGAGAAAACGCCCCCTGTACGGGGACACCCCTCGCCGAGTCTCCACCAGCGCGCTGTGTCAGCTCACCAGCGACTTCTTCACACAGCTCACCCTCAAGCTCAGCCCCCACGACTTCAACGAATGCGTCGAAGTCTGCCACACCTACCAGGCTGTATGCCAGCTGCCCACCCCGCCGGCGCCCAGCTGGTCACGTGACCGCAGCCCGCGGGAACAGTTCGACACGGAAGTCCTGGAGTGCGGGAACACGGTCAAGGCGCATGTCAACAACCTGTGCTTCTACAACGACCAGATCATCCTCCCGCTCTCCATCTGCGCGCCCATTCTCTACATCATCTTCTCCTTGTCTTTCATCTACTTCTGCTACTGCGACCGGCACCTCAAGGACGCCCCACCCACCCAGGCGCCGGACAGCGAGCCGAGGAAGTCCTGGAGCTGGCGGAAGCTGCCGTGTTTCACGGGGGAGGACTACACGCCGCCGTGCGACTGCGGCACCAAGCTGGCCCGGTGGCCGGGCACGTGCACGCACGGCACGTTCTCCACCACGCTCGACTGCTCACGCTCCACGCACGAGCTCCTGCAGCTTAAGTCCCTGCCCCACGCCGGCACGTCACGTGACACGCTGGCCTCCATACTGACCGATGAGCCATCCGTCACCCGCTGATTGGCTCATGAGCCACACGTAGTCCACTGAGCCACATATGACCCACTGAGCCAACAACGGCCCCGTGACTGACCGCTGAACCACATATGGCCCAGCGACTGACCACTGAGCCACACGTGGCCCACTGAGCCACACATGGCCCACTGAGCCATACATGGCCCACTGAGCCATACATGGCCCACTGAGCCACACATGGCCCACTGAGCCATACATGGCCCACTGAGCCATACATGGCCCACTGAGCCACACATGGCCCACTGAGCCACACATGGCCCACTGAGCCATACATGGCCCACTGAGCCATACATGGCCCACTGAGCCACACATGGCCCACTGAGCCATACATGGCCCACTGAGCCATACATGGCCCACTGAGTCACAGATGGCCCAGTGACTGACATAAAAGCTGCCAAAACGATCATAGAGACCCGCTTAGCTGGGCCAGTAGTAAAGGAATCTTAGCATTCGGTCTTTGAACTCTGAGAAATCTAGAGACGAAGTGACCTTCACTGACCCCTGGCCAAGAGTGACGACACATAAACCTCTCCATTCTGGACAAAAGAATCGTGTGCCAATTTTTTTCATACATACAAGAAATTGCGTGGATAAAATAGATAAACTCTACTTGACCTAACCATATATGGTACTATATTTTTCTTATGCCATTTATTGGAGATGTTTTCCTGCTTTGATAGGAGGTTAGGGTGTGAGGCATTAGCTTCAGCAGCGTCATGGCGCGACATGCAACACGATTCGTTAAGACCATTTTCCCGACAAAGTATCCCAAGTTAGACTTCCCATTCTCCCACCAACACACATTCACACAGCGACCAATCACACAGCAACCAATCACACAGCAACCAATCACACAGCAACCGATCACACAGCAACCAATCACACAGCAACCAATCACACAGCAACCAATCACACAGCAACCAATCACACAGCAACCAATCACACAGCAACCAATCACACAGCAACCAATCACACAGCGACCAATCACACAGCAACCAATCACACAGCAACCAATCACACAGCAACCAATCACACAGCAACCAATCACACAGCGACCAATCACACAGCAACCAATCACACAGCGACCAATCACACAGCGACCAATCACACAGCAACCAATCACACAGCAACCAATCACACAGCAACCAATCACACAGCAACCAATCACACAGCAACCAATCACACAGCAACCAATCACACAGCAACCAATCACAAAGCGAACATTCACACAACGACCAATCACATAGCACCGAATCTGTTGGTATCTTTGCTCCTACATCTACCTGTGTCTGGGAAAACATTTTAAAGGGTCCCAAACCTCAACAATTTTCATTGTGCATTTTGTTCTCCACCAAAGCCTAAATATTACGCCTTGGCATGAAGGAATCAGAAAAGTTAAGTGGAGCTATACCAACAAAAACAAAATAGGACAACTCTAATAGGACTATTACAGCACTATTACTGGAAATCTAGTTTTTTCCCGAGGCCCACCTAGATTTTCCTGTGGACCCACCTAGATTTTCCTGGGGCCCACCTAGATTTTCCTGGGGCCCGCCTAGATTTTCCTGGGGCCCACCTAGATTTTCCTGTGGACCCACCTAGATTTTCCTGGGGCCCACCTAGATTTTCCTGGGGCCCACCTAGATTTTCCTGGGGCCCACCTAGATTTTCCTGGGGCCCACTTAGATTTTCCTGTGGACCCACCTAGATTTTCCTGGGGCCCACCTAGATTTTCCTGGGGCCCACCTAGATTTTCCTGTGGACCCACCTAGATTTTCCTGGGGCCCACCTAGATTTTCCCTTGGTCACGCGTACCTTTTGATCCAACGACGCGATAAAAATTGCTATAATTTAACACCAGACACAAATAAAATTTAAAAAAATGACACAAATTATCCTACCACCAAAATAACTATAAAATTGCGACTTATAGAAAAATAAATGTGGGAAAAATTTTAACGGGCAGACCAGCGAAGTAAAGAAAAAAACAAATACTTTTAAGGTATACATGACCTTGGCCTGATAATTTAGCTGACGTGTTATGTTGCAGACTTTTAAAAATGATTTAAAACAGACAGAAAGCAGTATGAATAATTGACTGACCAAAATTGATCAGAATTTTATTTATTTGTCGTCTGCTGGAAACCACAAAGTTGGTTGAAAAACATGGAGGCGGGGTGTTCTCTTGTGGAGCAGGGGGCTTGAGAATCATTGGAGCCCTTCTACTGAATTATGGAGCCCTTCTGGTGAATAATGGAGCCCTTCTCCTGAATTATGGGGCCGTTCTCCTGAATTGTGGGGCCCTTCTCCTGAATTGTGGGGCCCTTCTCCTGAATTGTGGGGCCCTTCTCCTGAATTATGGAGCCCTTCTCCTGAATTGTGGGGCCCTTCTCCTGAATTGTGGGGCCCTTCTCCTGAATTATGGAGCCCTTCTCCTGAATTGTGGGGCCCTTCTCCTGAATTGTGGGGCCCTTCTCCTGAATTGTGGGGCCCTTCTCCTGAATTGTGGGGCCCTTCTCCTGAATTATGGAGCCCTTCTCCTGAATTGTGGGGCCCTTCTCCTGAATTGTGGGGCCCTTCTCCTGAATTATGGAGCCCTTCTCCTGAATTGTGGGGCCCTTCTCCTGAATTGTGGGGCCCTTCTCCTGAATTGTGGGGCCCTTCTCGTGAATCATGTGGTTGTGGCCCACAGTGTAAACTAGGAGTCAGACACAGTGGTTGTGGCCCACGGTGTAAACTAGGAGTCAGACACAGTGGTTGTGGCCCAAGGTGTAAACTAGGAGTCAGACACAGTGGTTGTGGCCCAAGGTATAAACTAGGAGTCAGACACAGTGGTTGTGGACCGCGGTGTAAACTAGGAGTCAGACACGGCGGCCCTTCTCGTAAATAATCCGGCCCTTCTCGTTAATCATGAGGCCTTTCTCCTGAATTATGGAGCCCTTCTCCTGAATTGTGGGGCCCTTCTCCTGAATTGTGGGGCCCTTCTCGTGAATCATGTGGTTGTGGCCCACAGTGTAAACTAGGAGTCAGACACAGTGGTTGTGGACCACGGGGTAAACTAGGAGTCAGACACAGTGGTTGTGGCCCAAGGTGTAAACTGGGAGTCAGACACGGCGGCCCTTCTCGTAAATAATCCGGCCCTTCTCGTTAATCATGAGGCCTTTCTCCTGAATTATGGGGCCCTTCTCGCGAATAATGAGGCCCTTCTCGTGTATCACGGGGTCCTGTCATCGATATCAATGAAGAATCGCCCTCGCGATAAATAGGAGACCTGCTCGTGTACCATGGGCCACACCCTCGTCAACAGTGTAAACTGGGAGTCAGCCAGCTGGGAGTCAGCCACGGTGGTTGTGGCCCACAGTGTAAACTGGGAGTCAGCCACTGTGGTTGTGGCCCACGGTGTAAACTGGGAGTCAGCCACGGTGGTTGTGGCACACAGTGTAAACTGGGAGTCAGCCACGGTGGTTGAGGCCCACAGTGTAAACTGGGAGTCAGCCACAGTGGTTGTGGCCCACAGTGTAAACTGGGAGTCAGCCACGGTAATTGTGGCCCACAGTGTAAACTGGGAGTCAGCCACGGTGGTTGAGGCCCACAGTGTAAACTGGGAGTCAGCCACAGTGGTTGTGGCCCACAGTGTAAACTGGGAGTCAGCCACGGTAATTGTGGCCCACAGTGTAAACTGGGAGTCAGCCACGGTGGTTGTGGCCCACGGTGTAAACTGGGAGTCAGCCACGGTAATTGTGGCCCATAGTGTAAACTGGGAGTCAGCCACGGTGGTTGTGGCCCACAGTGTAAACTGGGAGTCAGCCACAGTGGTTGTGGCCCACAGTGTAAACTGGGAGTCAGCCACGCCACGGTGGTTGTGGCCCACAATGTAAACTGGGAGTCAGCCACAGTGGTTGTGGCCCACAGTGTAAACTGGGAGTCAGCCACGGTAATTGTGGCCCACAGTGTAAACTGGGAGTCAGCCACGGTGGTTGTGGCCCACGGTGTAAACTGGGAGTCAGCCACGGTAATTGTAGCCCATAGTGTAAACTGGGAGTCAGCCACGGTGGTTGTGGCCCACGGTGTAAACTGGGAGTCAGCCACAGTGGTTGTGGCCCACGGTGTAAACTGGGAGTCAGCCACGGTGGTTGTGGCCCACGGTGTAAACTGGAAGTCAGCCACGGTGGTTGTGGCCCACGGTGTAAACTGGGAGTCAGCCACAGTGGTTGTGGCCCACGGTGTAAACTGGGAGTCAGCCACAGTGGTTGTGGCCCACGGTGTAAACTGGGAGTCAGCCACGGCGGTTGTGGCCCACAGTGTAAACTGGGAGTCAGCCACGGTGGTTGTGGCCCACAGTGTAAACTGGGAGTCAGCCACGGTAATTGTGGCCCACAGTGTAAACTGGGAGTCAGCCACGGTGGTTGTGGCCCACGGTGTAAACTGGGAGTCAGCCACGGTAATTGTAGCCCATAGTGTAAACTGGGAGTCAGCCACGGTGGTTGTGGCCCACGGTGTAAACTGGGAGTCAGCCACAGTGGTTGTGGCCCACGGTGTAAACTGGGAGTCAGCCACGGTGGTTGTGGCCCACGGTGTAAACTGGAAGTCAGCCACGGTGGTTGTGGCCCACGGTGTAAACTGGGAGTCAGCCACGGTAATTGTAGCCCATAGTGTAAACTGGGAGTCAGCCACGGTGGTTGTGGCCCACGGTGTAAACTGGGAGTCAGCCACAGTGGTTGTGGCCCACGGTGTAAACTGGGAGTCAGCCACGGTGGTTGTGGCCCACGGTGTAAACTGGAAGTCAGCCACGGTGGTTGTGACCCACGGTGTAAACTGGGAGTCAGCCACAGTGGTTGTGGCCCACGGTGTAAACTGGGAGTCAGCCACAGTGGTTGTGGCCCACGGTGTAAACTGGGAGTCAGCCACGGCGGTTGTGGCCCACAGTGTAAACTGGGAGTCAGCCACAGTGGTTGTGGCCCACGGTGTAAACTGGGAGTCAGCCACGGTGGTTGTGGCCCACGGTGTA